AATCGCTTTTCCTGGTGGCAGCTCAAGGCGGGGGTGACGTGGGCTGGCAACACATAGACAGACAGACAAACAGATCACTTAGCCCCCCCATTACAACCCCCGCCCCCACCAACAACAACAACAATCCCCACCATCCCCGATTCCACCAACCGAGGTCACAGGATGCCGATTTCGTGATTTGCAAGGAGGACCCCAAAGGCTCTAATGTGGGTCCACCCGCACTTTCCCCCCCCCAAAAAAACCCACCACCACCACCATGTACGTTCTGCCGCTGTCGATGCTGCCGCATATTGCAATGGCATATCGATTAGCCACACGCGCTTCTTTACCCTTGCGTACCCCCCCAATCTCTCTCTCTCTCTCTCTAACTCTAACTCTCTCTCTAACTCTAACTCTCTCTCTCACACACACACACCTGCGAGCACCCACAGTGGGGTCGCGAATCTCAGCCGCCCACTTGCCCCAGGGCCGTTGTCGCACCCCCCGATACGTCTTGTTCTTTCCCTTGGACACCACCTCGTCTCCCATGCCGCCACCGCCTCCACCTCCGCCTCGATGGCTTTTCTTCTGCTGACGAGGAAGCAGTGCAGTACGACGGCACTGGCGGCATCAGTGCAGTCCGGGGCTCCGTCGGACCATATATACACACATACATACATACATATACATATACATATATATACACATATATGTACGCAGAAAATAAAAAGGGTTGCAACCAAAACAGGACCAACGATCGGACCAACGATCGGTAATCTGCTGAAACAAGATCATATCAGCGCAGGATGGCCCGTCTTGCAACCTAAAGATGCTTTCATGGCAGGTTTCCACTGCCCCTTGCGAGGGCATGTGCCTTGCGAGGGCACTTAGGGAGTCATTCTTCACACCCTGGGAGCGGGAAAGTCCGAGAGAGAGACATGTTCGACTGCGTGGAGCCGCATAGATATCAACTAAGCTATAGACCATGCAGGAGTGTGTGTGTCTGTATATGTGCCTGTATGTGTGCCTGTCTGTGTGTCTGTGTCTGTCTGTGTGCCTGTCTGTGTGTGTGTGTGTGTCTGTATATGTGCCTGTATGTGTGTATTACGCCTCCGTTCCGAAGCAAGGAGAGCCCACAACGCCAGGCAACCGCGGTAACGGTTGACGTGGAGCGCTATCGCTCCACCAGCTCCAGCTCTATAGCCCCCGGGGATACTTGGCGCGGCACACAATTTGCACCACTATTATAACGCTACTGACCCCCTGAACTACCCCAGGTGGCAATTCCGCAGCCCTCGCTCTCCGAACAGGTGTCGTTTCCACGGCGAGAGCAGAGGGAGAGATGTGTTTTGAGGGTTGCGTGGCGTGGCATAAGATCGTCTGGGGCGGGGCCCCGCGCGTCCCTAAAACACGCAGCAACCCCCCCTTTCTCCCCAACAAGGTGGCATCCCCGGGTACGACACTACTGGTACGACATTACGTAAGCTGGTAAGCTTCTCATCCTAGGGATGTAGAGGGTAAAGCCGTTACCGCCGGAATGAGGGGATTTAAGCGGTTCGGTTGGGTGTACGGCAATCGAATTAGGTGTACGACCTATGCGAGATTCTAGTTCTGAATCAGGGCTGCTAACAATCTACTCAGCCGTTCACACCGCATGCTCGCAAAGGAGTCCTCGGTGTTGAATGCTGATGACTCCGCCCCGAGTCCCGGGAGTTTTAATGTGACTATCAACTGCCAACAGCCGCAACTGTCAACTGTCAACGACACGAAACTGTTTGACAGGACTTTGTCAGGTGTTCAGAAATGAAAACGACTCCACGGGTTGCAAAATAAAACAGTAAAATTAATCTGGGTGTTGGACAAATGCTAGGCTAAGGTATCAAATTGTATCCGGGAAAACTGCTGTAAATGACGCCGCAAAGCGCGGGCATACCTTTTCGCGTCGCTTCCTTGGCGATGTCGTGTCGCCTTCGGATTCGTCCGTCGACTCGTCTTCGTCGGGGATGGCCGGCGGCGGAGGCGGCGGTGGCGGCATCTGGTGCATCTGGTGCATGGGCAACTGCTGCATCTGGTGCATCTGCTGGTGCATTTGCTGCTGCATTTGCTGCATCTGCTGCATCTGCATTTGCTGCATCTGCATTTGATGCATTTGCTGCATCTGCTGCAGATGCTGGGCTTGCTGCTGCTGCAGCTGCTGCAGCTGCAACTGCTGCTGCGCCTGTTGTTGCATCTGCTCGTCAACTAGTACAGGCCCGCTGCACAGACCGCCGGGCGGCAGTTGTCCCTCGCCATTTCCAACCGCAACAGGTGCAACCGCCGCCGCCGTCGTCGTCGTCGCCGTCGGCTGCTGCTGCGGCTGCTGCGACTGATGCTGCTGGCTAAGAGACGCGAGTCCGAGCGGTTGTGACTGCGCCGTTGCCGCAGCTCCTGGGGTCTGCGCTGACATCGCCGAAGGCCCCGACTGCCCGACCTGCAGATGCCCGTGAGAAGCAGTACTGGAAGCTGCCGACGGCGCCCCCGCTGCCGCCGCCACTGGCCCCGGCGGTGCCAAAGCTGGCGGCGGCGTAGGCGGCCTACTGCCTTGTTGACCCGCCGCCGCCGCCGCAGCGGCCGCCGCCGCCGCGGCAGCTTGGCTGGCAATACTAGGTGCGACGCCGTGCTGAGTCAAGCCGGGACCAGCAGCCGATGTGGACGCGACATGGGGTGTGAGTGGCCGTGGGCCTGGCACCGGTCCGAGGGCCCCGTGCTGCTGAGCTACCGTGGCGATAGTCTGCTGGCCCGCCGTCGCTGCCGATGCGGCGCCTGCCTGCTGCTGTAACGGCAAAGCGCCATGTGAAAAGGGCGGCCGCATCAAGCCCTGCTGCGCACCTGCCGCCGCGCCTGCCGCGGCTGCTGCGGCCGCTGCATTCCGGCTCACCAAGTGCGCTGCCGCCAACTGCGCCTGGAAGCTCGCCTGAGCCTGTAGCTGCGCTGGCGTTGGAGCCTGTCCAGGCTGACCCTGGCCGGCGCCGCCCTGGCCTGCGGCTTGACTCTGCACCTGGCCCGCAGCTGCAGCAGCAGCGGCTGCCGCGGCTGCTGCCATTTGCGCCTGCGCTGCCTGTAATGCTGCCTGCGCGGTGGCCAGGGCCTGCATCGCTGCAGCTGGGGTGTGTGGAACCCCCGAGGTTGCAAGGCCGCCGGGACCGCCTGTGGCCGTCGCCATCGTACCCGGCAGCCCCGGAGGGGGCGACGCAGTTCCACCCCCGGCCGCACCTTGCCCACCGGTCGATGATGCCTGCGAGGCTTCCGGCGAAGTCGCCCTGCCATTGGTGCCTTGCTGTTGTGCCTGCTGTGCGGCTTTGGCAGCCTCGGCGGCCTGCAGCTGCGCCTGCGCTTGGGCGTGCGCAGCCTGGGCAACGGCGTTGGCCTGCGCCGTTGCGTGCAGCTGTGCCTGAGCTGCTTGGAGGCCCTGCATGGCCTGGAGAACATGTGGCGAAAGAGGTTGAGAATAGATTGGCCGCAATCCTTGGGCGGCAGCCTGCTGCGCAAGCTGCTGAGGAGTTACGTTGCTCGCTCCGGGAGCGCCTGGCGCGCCCGCCGGGAAGCGAAGTAGCGTATTATAATACGCAGCTGCAGTCGCCGTAGTTTGTTGCAATGCTGCTGCTGATGCGTTAAGTAGCGGACTTGGCGTCGATATACCCGGCCTCGGTGCACTTACGGGAAGCCCGACTTGTGCTTGAGTGGATGCGTAAAGACTCAGCGCATTTGGCAACGAGAAATTAGCAACCGTTGACTGAGCAGAAGACGTTTGTGCTGTAGTAGTAGAAGACAAAGAAGCTGCTCCGGTTGGTGAGGTACTCGAAGACACGACTTGCAAGCCTTGGTTCGTTGAGAGGTCCTGCTGCCCCTGCTGCAACACCTGGCCAGGCTGTGGCATGTCCGCAAGAGATAAATCGGCTACCAAAGCAGGAGGTGATGCCGAGGGTGGCCCCTCCGTTCCAGCTTCGGGAGCGCCCATCGCCCCGGCAGAGCCAGTCTTGCGAGAGTCACGGTTCGAGACAAAGAAAGTCAGACCAGTGCGAACCTAGAAAAGAGGCCTATAGTCAACAGCCTGAGTTGTGGTTCAAGTCCGAGCTTCAGGAGCGCCAGAGCGGGAAGCCTCTTACGTGACAGTGAAAAGAATGGTATCAGCGAAGCGTACTTGATGTGAATGTATACACGACCTCCAATATAATAGAGGTAAAGCTATATGAAATTTGGGGCGACTGTGGAAGCGGCTTTCATGGTTCTGTCGCAGGTTCTTGCGTGGTCGTCCTGCCGGTGCGAAGTCCCTTTTGCTGCAGCACGGGACCCACAACGCGTACTCAATTGCATCTCATATCATAAAATTTCCCCTCTGCAGCAAGCATGTTTATGCAACTAGGCGTGGCGCGCTCAACAGGGGTGGTTTAAGCGAAGCTAGCTTGTCGCGAAGCCAATGCTCGTTCCGCCACGGCCTGATCAAGATCAGACCAGTTTTCAACTTTATTGGAATGTTTGACCTCGCATTGCTTAGCTGTCGCGGTTTGACAAGTCGTTCTCAAACAGTTATCGTCGCACTACGCCAGCACGTTTGTCCTGGGGCTGCCGTGTTGACGCTGTAACGATAACGCGTCAGAACCCACTAACATGTAGATCGTTTCGGGAAGTCACGGGAAAGCACCTCGCTTGCGTCAATTACAAAGCTTATGCCATGGCTGGTATCGGTGCGCTTCGCCTGTGCCGGAAGGCTCACGGCCCCAAGGGACCCACAAGCTGCATGGTGGGTACGCTAACCAAGTCACAGCCTCGAGCTAACCAGCCAACTTCGACACCCGGACGATATTTTCGAGGCATCACATTGATCCGGATCTCCTCATTGTCCCCTTAACAACAACTCCCACATTATGAAACCAAGATGCTGTCATGTCGCAAGACATTCTGTCCAGCGATCGCGCATGTTCCAGCCATGCAGGTGAAGATGCGCTTCTGGGAACGCCGGATTCCGTGCCCCCGCGGCCGCCAAAGCCCCCACCGACCTTCAGCCACAAGTGGCAAAAATGCGTTACCCGCGCAGGTATTGCTTTCCTTCCCCTGCATGTCCGCCAGGAGGGGAGCCCAGCTCTTGCTCCAGCTCGTCATCCCACGCTCGTCATCCCATCCCAACGGCAACCGGCACCCCCCCCCGCCTAGCGGTGCAGCAAACGGCGCCCCCTCCCTACAGCCCGCAGGCTCCGGTTCCATGAAACCACATGCAGTACCATAAACCTAACAAGCCAACTCCTGCCGTACAATACTGACTGTCGTACGAAGGAAATGGTAACGACGCAGTCTCGCCTTGAGGCCTTGCAATGCTGTTTCTCCTCCAGTTTCCCTCCGGCGCATCGTTGTGGTGGTGAAGTGCGACATCACACCTTCTTTACTTACAGCGTGTGGCTCACCAGCTTCAGCAATGCTCGAGTGGTGCGCGGGTTCATGATGGACACGGAGCGGGCGAAAGAGGCGGAGTGAACACGCAGCTGCGGGATGTGTTCTGTGTATGCGTGTCGGTTGGCTTTTGGGTGGGTTTCGGAGCTACATCTCCCGCAATCCAAAATGTGCAAGAATGGCGTAAATTTTTTTTTGTATACGCCCTCAACCATCGAACGTTCGTGGCTGAGGTGACATGTTGGGTCCTACCGCGCACATGCCTGCGCTTCAGTTGCTGCTGCCGTGGCTGCCGCTACTGCCTTTCCGCTCTCTCGGACACAGCGCCGCCGGCACAGCGGCGGAGCCAAGGCGCCGCCGGCGCCTAGATGGCTGTCCCAGTCACCGCTGCCGTCAGCGCCGCCGCCTTCTTCGCAAGTGCCGGCCGTGACGCTCCGAAATACTTGCGCATCTCGTACGCGTCCTCGCCATCGGCATAGTACTTGCCTTCCTTGTCGTAAATCCTGTCGTACGACAGTACGGAAGCAATAACACGCACATGGTTGGAATACATGGTGCCAACGCCGATGTCGACATATAGCACCAACCAAGACCAACAAATGCAAACCTGAAAAGAAGATCGAACGGTCCCCAACGCCTCCCACCATCCGCCCGGACATCCCAACACGCAACAGGCGCTTCTTGCTGCCGCCACCCAACAACGCTGTTGAGATCCAAATGTTTGAAATCTAGCTGTCCGAAATGATTTTCAGCGCATTGGCCTTGCCTTCGTCACCCCCTTCGATCCGCTTTTCTTTCTCACGCGCGCAGGAATGCGCCTTTGCGGACATTATATTGAATGCCTTAGGCATTTGGCAGGTGGTTCCGGAGCTACTTAGGGGCAGTTACGTCATCGCGTTTTGGACTCCAACGGCGGATATTGCTCCAGATGTAGCCGCAGTCAGCGCAGTTGTGTCACTTGTTGAGTTTTGCAACCCCTCTACGAATATATCATTGACATCATTCCATAGCACGCTAATTATACAAGTTCCGCATGTGGGAGCCCGTCCGTAATTATACAAGTTCCGCATTAAAAATGTGGGAGCCCGTCCGTAAAAGCTGGGAGGGCCATATAGCCACTAACATCTAACCCCACCCCCACCCCCTTCCACCCCAAAGAGCGCCGTCGCCCCCCACCCCTCCGGCCCACATGATTCGCAAAGTCAGTCTCCCCTCAGCCACACCGCATCCTCTCTTGAGTATCCTGCCGGCACTAGCTAGCAGACCTCCCTGAAGCAGAGGAAAGGGGAGCACAGTTTTCTTAAACTGCTTTCGCCCGCGCCTTCTTTGCCTTCTTGAGATGTCCGTCGTCGGTTTCCTTTGGTGGCCCCCCCCTTTCCCTATCCTGGGCTGTGCTCTTCGTCCCATCCGTCTGGAAACCACGTGGAAGGAGAGCTCGCACAGGCTCAGGCCGAGGTAGGAGCCGCGGTCGCTTTGTACAACCGGACATGGTTTCCAAGAACCCCACGAAGTCATCCGCCAGTTCCTTCAGGCTTTCGCAGTTGGCGGCTTTCGCAGTTGGCGGCTTTTGCAGTTGGCATTCGCAGGCACATCTACACCTTTATGACGCTGGGGTCGCTTGGGTCGTCGTCTGGGTCGTCTGGGTCGTCTGGGTCGTCTGGGTCGTCTGGGTCATATGCACACGGACAGGAGGAGACCAAGGCCAGGATGGGATCTGCATTCGGATGACGACCCCCCCCCCGGGTGGGGATGATTCGTGTTTCGTGTACTACCATCGCCACCCATCCCCTCCTGCACTTACTCGTATCCTAGCGTCATGGTGTACAAGTGTACGGCAACCTTGTTGGTCTCCCGTACATGAAGTGACACGTACTTGGCCCCAAACACCTCCTCCATGGCCTTATCTGGGAGATGAGGAATCAAGAGGACGGACAGGTAGTTAGTTAGGCAGTTAGCTAGGTAGTGTGGTAGTTAAGGTATGACACGTATTTATATTCCTTAAGTCACTACATACATACATACACACAAAAGGTATGTATGTATGTATGTATGTGTATAGTTTACATTCACAAGACACAGGGGTTGGGTTTCTCATTCCAACGTACTCCACCCTCATTCCATGTATATACGACACAACTCGCCACGCGCGTTATGCAAAACACGTGCGCGGGGCATTCCCTCGTCGTACCAGAACACGAACATACACATGGCCACACCACCCGCGCCAGGACCTTCACCACCCAAACTTCTTCCCCAACAATCCGTCTCATCGTACGCCCGACCTCTTCTCCCCTCTCCCTCCCTCCCTCCCTCCCCTCCTCCTTCCCCACGTGTTGCATTCATGAGCTTGGTCGCCAGCCCCAGCTTCCGGTGGGTGCGAGCCACCGCAACCGAGGTGATGTGGCCGTGGGGCTCCGAGGCGTCCTCCTCCCTGTCGGTGGGAGTGTGGGGTGGGAGTGTGGGGTGGGAGTGTGGGGTGTGGGTGTGGGGGTGGGAGTGTGGGGTGGGAGTGTGGGGTGTGGGTGTGGGGTGGGAGTGTGGGGTGGGAGTGTGGGGTGTGGGTGTGGGGTGGGAGTGTGGGGTGGGAGTGTGGGGTGGGAGTGTGGGAGTGTGACAGAAATGGTGGGATCAGCACATAAGGAAGTGATGGTATGAGGGGGAGGAGGGGGCGGAGGACCACAGGGGGGGTAAGGCGGAAGGTGTGTGCGTATGTATGTGCGTATGTATGTGCGTATGTATGTGCGTGTATGGCGGGTAACAAGGAGGCCTGGTGGGAAAGGGTGCAAGGGGTAAGGAGCAATCATTAAAACCAGTGAGGGGGGAAATACTTAATTCATATCAGGAAAGGCAACGGGGGGAAAGAGGAAAACAATGGACACCACAACGAATAACCAAACAGGAGGGAAAGAAAGTCACGTTTCCGATAGAAATTTCCTACAGACCCAGGGCACAGACAGTACGGCATGTACGGCATGCTTAGGGTCTCATCGCAGTGCTCGACGAATTTGTGACACCAAGACGAGCCGATATCGGCAGAGTGGTCTGTTGGGGGATTTTTTTAAAAAGGTTTGGATTCCGTTTAGTGCGAAAAGTGTCCCCTCCACACCCGCCACCCGCCGCGCTCACTTTCCCTCCTAACCCCCTTCCCGCCGCCTCTACTCCGACTGCTTGTCCTCCCCTATCCCAGCCTCTGCCACCCGCCCCTCTGTCACGTCGCGCCTCTCCCCTTTTCCCGCCAATCCCCTTCCCCTCGCCCCGGCTTCCGTTGGCTCACCCCCCTTCCCGCCACCCCTTTCCCCTCTCCCAAACTCGTCCCCACATTTTGGCAAGGACGTAACCCACGATTTTCCCGTCATAGTCTTCCGCGACTTGCAGCAGCTGAGGCCAAGATAGAATGTGGTACAAGTAGTACTGCGGCGGATTTTTTTGGGGGGGAAAAGGGTGGCGCATGTCGGGCGGCAGGAGGAAGGAATATGTAGTTGTGCGACTGTGGTAGAAAGGGCGCGAGAGCTACCTGGATAGGACGGCCGACCCAACAGCTTTTGACAGTCCCTAGTTGGCTGCCACGGCGTGGAATTGCAAATTAACCTTTAGTAATACCTTCACAATCCCTTCACGTTCTGCTACTCGACATACCTTTAGTTGGTAATTCTCCGGTAGGCTGAGTGGAACCATCATGCGCGGGGAATAAAACGAGCAAGTGGTTGCAGATGTAAAGTTAAATACTATCTAGTTAAGTACTAGCAAGCACGCTCACCAGAGCAAGTTGCATCGTTGCATCTGCATAAGATCGTCAATCGTCGCGGGTCTGATACAAACCATTATACAACGGTCTGTGGATTTCTTCCTGATTCCGTAGACTGTACGCTTAAGGCAGAAGCGCGGCTGTGCGGCAGAGAACGTCAACGTATGGCGGCAATCTCCAAAGCACTTGTCAATTAACTTGATCACAGAAATTGCTAAAAACAATCGAACTAGCAAGCGAGCGAATAGCCGCCTGAGAGGTGATCGACAAAATTCCTGTGCCGTACAAAGATGCAGTTAACGGATTAGAGTTCCACCGGAAGAAGTTTATGCGTATGCCATCGACATAGGAAAGCAACCCTCATGTTGCAGTATGCCTAAGTTCTTTGCCGTGAGTTATAAAACCATTCCGTGATAAATGGACGACTCCCATAGCGGCACAGGTGGACTCGAATCGCTGGATGACCTCTGCGTTCAACAAATTGCTTCTTGCATAGATTCTCTTAAGGTAAGACTTCCTTTGTGCGCCAACTTTACAGGTAAGCTTCCTGCCTTCCGTCAGCACTCGGAGGTCGAAGTCGTTCTGGTTGAAATTCTGCTTTCCCCTATATAAGAAACGTAACGGCAGTGCCGCATTATTATACTTGCGTATCAGGAACGCCTAGTACCCGGTTGTGTTTTATCTTTTTCCCAGTCTCCGGCAATTACGCCCAATCCTCTCACACGTCCAATACCCCGTCCGCCCAAACATCCCTTTTCCCCCCAGGATCTGCTAAGCCTAGCCAGGACCTGCCGGCGCCTACGCCATGCCGTCGCAACTGCGGAACCAGCCTGGCAACGTCACATCCTAGCGGACTTCGGACTGCTGGTCCAGGTAATGTGCAGACGGGTCCTGCGCGTGCAGGCTGATGAAAGGCGGCCTGGAGATTGGCAGGACTTACAGGGACTGGGATGTACGACATGAAGGAGAGGGAGGCTGGTGCTTTAAACTGAACGACACAGACCTCCCTGACCCCCTTCGTTCAGCTCCTTCCCCTCTTGGAGCTGAACGAATGGGAAGGAGGGGAACGTGTCCCAACCCCCCCCCGCCCATTCCCCGGGTCCGACGCCCGCCCTCTCTCGCTCTCTTGCCCCACACCTGGCCGCAGCCCATCACCCCAAAGCGCCCCTTTCTATCAATATCAAAATCTTCCAAAGGGGAAAACATCGTCCCCTTTACGGCAAGACCTACCCACGTGGCTCCACTTGCCATCATACCTATTTTGGAGTTGTGTCTGAGGGGAATAACGTCCTCCCTGGATTGGAATGTGCAGGGTGTCGGTCTCAGAGATCAGTACGACATGCTGCGGTACGTCGCCCGAGGGGAGATCCCTCCACCGCCACCTCCCCCCCCACCAAACCGCCCTAGAGGGGCCAATGGCGCTGGTGGTGGTGGCGAAGGTGACGGTGGTGGTGGAGGTGATGGTGATGGTGATGGTGGGTGCTACTTGTGTCCGGGCGCGAGCGGCTCTCCAGGGGCTAGACGACCACAACCATCACCCGCCGCTGCCGCCACAACCACCACAGCCGCCACCGGAGCGCTGCCCACTACTGCTACTGCCACTGCTATCGCTACTGGGTTGATGGTGGCGTCTGTGCCGGCTACAGCTACGGCTCAGGCGCCGTTACAGAGCGGTGTACGACCTTTCTTGCCATTTGCGGGCGTGTCGACGGACGGAGGTTGCGATGCACCCGCCGCGGACTTTTGGGTGGGGCCGGGGAGAGGGAGAGTTGGGGCTGGAACTCCTGTGCGTATGTATGTATGTATGTATGTATGTATGTATGTATGTATGCTGTCGTAGCAATGCGGCTGGTGGGAAGGGATAGAGTGGGGGTTCCCCAAGTGATGGTGAGTGACGAGGGGAGGGTGGGGCGGTGGGGGCCGGGG